AGGAAGGCGGAAGGGCAGGGGAAAGGCGGGGGGGAAGGCGAATAGGAGGGTCACCAGGAGGAGGAGGAGGAGGAGGAGGAGGAGGCGGCATGAGGAGAGCGTGCCGGGAGAGGAGTGCGGATGGAGGACGAGGGGTTCCGAAGGGGGTGGGAGCGCAGCCAAAGAGGGGGCACCCATGCGAGAAGTGCGGCGCGCCAGGGTGCTGCTTGTCCTCATGGCGGGACTGGGGGGCTGCCCGCCGCGCGCGTGGCGGGGCCCAAAGGGGTGGAGGAAGGTGGAAGATGATGGGGTAGGGCGCAGGAAGGAGGAGGGAGGGAGCAGCAAGGAATGGGGGGCGGGGGAGCAGCAAGGCGTGGCGTGGGAGGAGGAGGGGGAGGAGGAGGAGGATTAGGACTCAGGTTTGGATTAGGATTCGAATTGGCAGGAAAATAGGGAAGAGGAAGGGTGGAGAGGGGAGGAAATGTTTGGCACTGGTGGAGGAGGAGGAGGAGAAGGAGGAGGAGCTGGAGGATGATGAGAAGGAGGAGGAGGGAAGCGGAGGAACCGGAAGACGACGACGATTGAGGACGAGTCGGGAATCATGAGGAAAGGATGAACAGCATGAGGGAGACGAGGGGAGGATTGGAAGATACAGGAGGGGAGATGAGGGACAGGATATGCATGGGCAGGGAGAGGAGGCATGCAGGAACGTGCAGGAGGGAAGTGGCATACGGGAGAGTACACGTTGAATAAGAATGAGGAGGAGGAGGAAGAAGAAGAAGAGGAGGGGTGGAGGGGGAGGGGGGACAACGAAACCAGGTTGCCCTTGATCCCTGGCCATGGAGTTGTTCTTGTCATGGTGCTCGTCCTCGCGCCCTCCCTCTCGCACCCCTGCATCCTAGAAGCCCCCCAGCAGCCCAGAGTTTCACGGACAGGCTGGCTTCAACCAGTCGGATCATTGTTCGTTCGTTGTGCTCGCCAGGGGGGAACGGGTCCTGAGGGAAACGGGTCCTGAGGTTGTTTGTCGTTTTCGGGCTCTCGGGGCCCTCCACTGTCAGAAAACGATTATGGATGAATATTTGGTCCTGGGGGAAGGCTCTGGGGTCCAGGACCCGTTTCCCTGAGGACTCGTTTCCCCCTATGCTAATGTGCGTACGCACGTTGTTCGCGTTGGCCCGTAACCACATGCATAGCAAGCCGTGGCCAGAGCAGGAAGTGTTGCTTCTGGCGATCGCGCGAATGAGTCGCGAGGGATCGATGGCCCCTAGGGATGGACACGATGTTTCGCGTCTCCTCCAATTCTCGAGCATACATCCCAGCTTGTACAGTGTCGGGAAATGCGTCAGTTACCATGTGCTTGATGTGCGTGCTCCATCTTCCTTTCATTATCATTGTTTGTTTGTTGTTGGCCATTGCCAGTGTTCTCCCCGTTTGTAGTCCAGACTATAGATTTCCCCGAGTCGGAAGTGCATAGACGCATCTGCATCAGATGACGTATAATCAAGCCGTTTGGCAGCGTATTTGGAAGCAATGGGCGACAGGGCGAATGATACCGAGCAGACAAGAGCCAATATGATGAGAACGGCACCTGGAAGGCACTATAACACGTAGGTCAAGGGATGCGCGTGCGTGTGCGTACAAACGCGCAGATATTTGCACTCACGCCGGTCAGTCATCTGCAGTAGCGCCCGCCTTGCGAGTTTCACATGTCGTTGTGCCGCCGTTCGGGCGAGCACTTTCGAGGAGGAGCCCTCGCCGTCACGGCCACGCGCGGTTCGAGCGCATTGCCTGCACGTCAGCTGGGAACGTACCGAGGGCTGATCCCGAGCGGATGTTGCCTGGGAGCGGCAGGGCAAGCATTGGGAGGGGGAAAGGAGGGAAGGAGGAACGGAGGGATACGCGGGACGTTGCAGGGAAGAGCGTCGCGCTGGGGCGCAAAAGCGCACACCAAGATGAGGAGATGAGGAGAGGCAATGGCCCCACCTCCCTGACTGCAGAGCCACCATTCTCAGGCGATCGCAAACATGGATCAAGGGGGCGTGGATTAGCGACGGGCCCCGTTTCCGTGGGGAATCGCGGATTACCGCCGCCGAGCGAGGCGGCACCGGCCGCATGTTGGGGAGGGCACCTCCCTTGATCCGCGGATTTGGTGACCGCGCGCCAAATCCATGGATCGCTAGCCCATGTTTGCGTGCCCCTGATCTTGGGCGCATTCAACACATTTGCCTGAGCCCTCGTTTCCTCATCAGCATTAGGAGCAGCCGCATGCCGAATTGGGGCGAAGGTAAACCGAGGACTGGCGGAACGGCCGAGGGCTCCAGAGCCAAGACCACAACCCCAGACCCAGAGCCCAGGACATCCCCGAACCGCTCCTGCTGGGCACCCACCCCCGTCCTCCAACCCAGCACCGGCGCAGAAACCATCCCAGAGCCCACAAGGCCACCAGGATCGCCTCGGGGTGCCTCCCAGCTCGCCGATGCACCGAGACCCCCGCGGGGACGGGGGGCCGCAAAGGGAGAGCTCCGCACGAGCCGTCCTGGCCGCGGCCCTCGCGGCACCGACGCGAGCGAAGTACGACAGAAGCGAGAGGCCATCGATTTGGCGCTGGCCGTCGCGCCCCTCATGCAGGAGCAACGCCAGAGCACGGCGCCAGAGAAGTTGGGAACCTCGACTCGCACGACGGCGGGGGCGGCGGCGGATCAGAAACATTCTCCTGAACCTTGGATCACTGTTGGCGCCGCCTCTTGAAGCTGTCGGTCCTCCCGTGCGCCGTGACAGTAATACACGCCCGAACTCGCCACTGCAAAACCTGCCGCGCAGACTCACGGCCAGTGCGCATCGTTTTGGTATGGCGACGGGGAAGCCAATGAAGATCACGCCCGGACGTCGCTCAAACATCCGCCCACCGGTTCCTGCTTCACATGGAGATCATCACCATGTCAGTGGCCACGGATGTGCCAAACCTGCATGGCCTCTCAAACGCCTCCAAAGCGGACGATGTTCGCCCAATTGGATTCTCAGAGATCCACATTGGGCTTGCGAGGATGACAACACCATTGAGGTCCCCAGTGCAGCCGCTTTAACCATGCGCCTGAAACCATATAAGATTGCTCGATTGGAAGCAAATCAATCTGCAACACCTGGAGCAAGAAAAACATGAAGCTCTGGACCTCGGAACAGGTCCTGGAAGAGCCCCGTATGCCAGAATACCGATACGCCCATCCACACGGTTAGCAAATCTTCGTCTTGCTTTGGTCGCCTTGGGCCACTGCCCGAATTGCTTGCGTGCCCCCATCAGTGTAGACCGCGCCCGCCAGGGAATCGACCGAGTCGCATCTCGCCGCCCATCTGCCAGAGGTATCTTTTTGCGGCGAGGGCGGAGAACGGCTCCGAGGGCGAAGTCCTCTGTCCCAGCACCGCGAGCCACCCTGTCGGGGCGGCAATTCTCCGTCACTCGAGGGGCCCATCGCCGCCAACCGAAATCGGGCGCCGCCAGGGCAGCGCCAGATCAAGTGATGCGTGTTGCAGTTCTGACGGGCAGTCGAAACACGTCTCGTCCCCCGTATAACCACATAACTTCAGTCGAGCGTGAGGCCACATGTCACCTCCAATGATGGCACGGGGCATAGCGGCCTCGTTGACCGAGAGGGCCCGTGGTGAATTGCGATGTTATTTCATCTCCTGCAGGCTCCTGATCTTCTCCTCCTCCGCTCCATCGTCCGACTCCTCGTGCCGCATTGCCGCCGCTCCTACTGCATTGAATCTGTCGCGCCTCAGCTGGTCCGTGATCATCCGGCCCCTCGTGCTGATGGCGCTCCAGGAAGCCAGTGGCGGCTCGATCCAGTACCCAGGGGCCCGCTAGGGGCCGTGGCGAGAACGTCAGCAGGAGTTGGCCGACCAGCCCAAGACCACCAAGGCCGTCGGAGGGTTGCTGCTTATTCGAAGTCCTCGACCGTTGATGGGGCGATTTCCCAAAATCCAGGACGCCACTGGACTCGGCCTTGCGAAGGGGAGACAGCGGTCCACCTGGGGGCCTTCATAGAGAGCACCATGTCCCAAGGTCGATGAGAAAAATAGCCTTTCTGAATCTGAACCTGCCGCGCGGGGGGGGGGGGATCCGATCGCGCCACAACAACTCGGCGGCGAGCGAGGGGGGGAAGTGAGAAGGGGCGGGAATTCTCAGAAGGTTCGGAAGCCCCCCAGCCGTGAAGTTCTCTAAGTCTTCCCCGAAGACTCAGAAAACCTCTCAGAAGGCGCGAGGGTTTCTGAGAAGTCCCGCTGCCTTCTGAGAAGGCCTTCTCCTTTGCTCGCTTGTCCCGCTCGTCCCGCTCTCCAGCTTCGGGGCGGCAAGGGGCGGCTCGGCCACTGGGCCGCTCCAGTCTGGCAAGGAGCAGCGTGCCCTGGCCCGGCTCGCCGTCGGCGCCTCGTTTGACTGGTTTGACTGGCCCCACCTCGGCCTGCCCTGAGTGGGCCGCGCCTGTCCTGCCATCGTGCCCTCGTGGCACGCACGCTCCACGGGCTGCGACTGCTTGCCACTCCACCTGGTCCGCGTCTTCTCCGTTTCCTCTCCCCCCTCTCCCGTCTTTAAGTGATTTGGGACCTTGTGTCTCACCTGTACCCATCGGGGGCCGTTCCCCCTTGTGAACACCTGCGATGCGGACTGACGCGACGACGACTGGCGTGGCACGCCCTGTCTTTACCTGCTATGGGACCTTGTATCCTACCTGTACCCATAGGGGCCCTGTCCCCCACGTGAGCACCCACGGTGCGGGCTGACGCGACTACGGCTGGCGTGGGATGCCGGCCTCTCCTCCCTGTTCGCTTCGTCCCCCCCCGCTCGCTTCCCCCCCTCCCATGGCGGCAGCGCCCGGCACTGCGCGGCTTCGGCCCGGTGCTGGGCACTGCACCTTGCCGCCTCGGCGGCCCCGCTCGCCATGGCGCTGTGCGGCTAAGGCCCAGCCCCCGGCCACGCGGACGTCAGCGCATCGTGTGTGGCACCCGCCCGTCTTCACGCGTTGACTGTGCAGGTCAGGTATCCTCCCTGCACTCAACCGACATCCTGTCGGACACGGACGGCCCTCGTCTCTGGCCGCACCTCTTGCTGGCTGCTTCCTGGTCGTGGATTGGACTACCACCACAGGCCGCTTCCGACCACCTGGTGGCACAACGCTGCACATCGCCTTCGTGGTGTTCCTCTTCCTCCTGGGCCTCCTCCACACCATCCGGTGGCACAACGTTGCTCATCGCCTTCATGGTGGTTTTCTCCCCCTTCTGGACGTCGACCTGGTCACGTCCCACGTCCTCCTCTGCAGTGCTTGAGGCTGGCGTTCACGGAGTGCCGTTGACGGCAACACCATATCGCTCACCCTCCGGATATTCGCTTCCGGCCCCTGTCCACGGCGTACTTTTTCCTGCGCAAGTTCCTCGGCACCGTTTGCACCCCGGGCCCCGCCCTCTCTGGCCGCCTGAGGCCCCGCCCGCCTGCGCCCTGTCTCCCCAATTAGGGCTGCGCGTAGCCCGCCTAGCTTTTAGCGGAAGAGGTTCGCTCTCGCCCCGCCGACCAAAAAGTCTTGCCATCATGGCGGTGGCATTCGAGAGGCCCCCCCTCGCTCGCCGCCGCCAAACAACCGTCGAAATGAAGGCGCAACCCGGGCCCAGGTCCGCGGAGACCTGCGTGCAAGTTGGCCCGGGAGCGACTCGTCGCCCGGGCGTCGGCCGCGGGCCCCGGCGCGCGCCGAGACGGGCGGTCGAAGCGTGAGGGAGGGGAAAGTAGCGGAAGTTGTCCCAAAATGGGAGGGACCGTCAGGCCCCGGCCGACCTCAATCGACACACGGTCGCTCACGCGATTGATTAATCCTGTGGAAGGTTTCTTGTGGATTGGCCTTCTTCGGTGTTCTTTCTGCGGGCCCTTCATGGTGCCCACCTAACGGATCTGTTCTACTCAGGCTCGACTCAAGTTCGACTCAGATTCGGTTCAGCTTCGACGCAGCTTCGACGCAGTTTCGACGCAGCTTCGACTCAGGTTCGACCCAGCGTCGACTCAGGTTCGACGCAGCTTCGACGCACGAGTGGAACGAGTGGCTCCAGGAAGGTCCGCAGAAAAAGCATCTAAACCTTTACGGTGGATGGCCCTGGCGAGGACGGGGTCCCCAGGGTGCACGCAGGAGCCGCCCGTCCACGCGCGCGGCCACCTCGACGGCTCTGCCGCGGGCCCGCCTGCGGGTCCGGTATGGCAGCGCTGGCAGCGGCGTCGGCAGCCGAGCCGCCTCCCGCGAGGGCGGCCAGGCGAGGGCCCCTGTGAGGCCAGCAACTTGAACAAAAACACGAACTACCATATCAATTTCTCGGGGAACGAAGAAAACGGGCTGCCATATCTGTCGCCGGCTTCTGAGCACCCTGTGCGGGGAATGGTCTGTTGAGCCGATTGGCCCATGCATGGACACATGTTAGGCCAAAGGCGATAAACTGCAATACGACGGGCAATGGGACGGTACCCACCAGCTGCCTTATTCAATACAAGTGTTTGAAATGTCTACAGCATATGTGGCCACATACCTCATATTTCGCGCGAAAGCTAGAATACATATCACATCACCGACTGAGCAGCGATGGGCACTAAAGATCAGCGTCGTGGCCGAAAAAGATTTGCTCCGACGGCCGTATAGAGGAGAAGAAGCAAAAAGGACGCGGAAAGGGGGTGGAGGAGTACGACGAGAAGGAGGAGGAGGAGGAGGACGAGGAGGAGAAGGAGGAGGAGGAAAAGGAGCGAGGAGGGACGGTTGGGCGGAGGGAGGCAAGGAAGACAAGGACGACAGGAGGAGTCTGGAGTTTGGAGGTGAGCTGGATTCCACCTTTCCAGTCTTTGTATTTCCGCCCCCCTCTTGTTTTTCTACGCCGTCTCTTGCCACTCGCTGCCCCACCTGCGTGTCCTGGGTAGCGAGGGGCTGTTCTTGTGGCTCGTCTTCAAAGACGCCCGGCGGCGCTGGAGGGAGACGGAGGTGGAGAGCATCTGGCTCAAAGCTTGCGAGGAGAGCTCCTTTTCCTTTCATTAGCTTCGTCTTTTGAAGAAAGAAAAGAGCAGTGAACATGCCTGGCAAACGGTCCAGTTTGGATTCGGAATGGGACCGGTGTTGCTTGGGTCCTGAACGGGTGTTCTTTGGTTTGCTTTCTTCGTGCAACCGAGGCCCGAAAGGGACTTCGTTCCAGATCCAAAGTTGATGATGGCAGGAGGGGGGGAGGAGGAGGGAGAAGGAAGCGGGAGGAGCAGGGGGGATCCAGCTCCAGGTCCAAGGTGGAGGAGGAGGGAGGAGGAGGAGGAGGAGGAGGAGGACAGGGAGGAAGAGGAGGAGAAGGAGGGGGAGGAGGAGGGGGAGGAGGAGGAGGAGGAAGGAGGGGGAGGGAGGAGGAGGACGATCGAGGAGGGGGATGAGGAAAAGGAGGAGGAGGCGGAGGCGGAGGGAGCGGGAGGGAGGAAAAAGGAAGGGGAGGGCCGTGGCACCGTCGTATGCGTTGCCTTTTGACCCCCCCCTCGCCCCAGCTCTACTCTCCCGTTCCGTCCCTTAGCATCTCCCCTGTGCCTTCCCCTTCAGCTCGCCTCTGCCCCCTCTCCATTCCTCTCTTCTTCTACAGTTGAGTCGGGCGTGTCCCTCTACAGGAAGAATCTACAGAAATAGTCAAAAGATAGTCTGGGGACGATTTTTGTTAGCAGTTTACTATCTGAGGGTATTTGTTGAGCATTTTGTTATGTTTCGCCTAAAATCCGCCTGTAGGTGGACAGGCCCGACCTAATTCTACAGGCACAGCACCTACTCAGTATGGACACCGCTCTCGTCGCCCACCGTCCGCGCTGGCTTACTCGGCTCAGCTCCCGCCACGGTCCCCGCTCGGCTGCCAGGCTCCCTTTGGCGTCTTGCCGCCCGGAATGCCTCCCCCTGATGCTTGTAAGGCAGTTTCTCTTCCGTATAGCCTCGACGCTCCCGTGCACCGTCTTTTTACACAGGATGCCCCCCCGCCCCGGGAGATTCGGAGCCTGTGCCTGCCGATAAGTGCGCCGTCGGCCGCTCGGGGTGGTGCTCTCGCTTCAGCTCCCGCCACACTCCTGGCTCGGCAAGCGCACTTCCCTACTGGTTTGTCCGCCCGCCTTTCGCCCTCCCTGCTCCCCGGTAAACTCCCTCCTCGTGACGCGTTCTGCGTTTCGCGCCCCCAGTGTTTCGGAGCACGCGCTTGTCAATCCGAATCGGAATGTCTTCGGCCGCCCGTCTCATTCCAATCCGAATCGGAATGTCTTCCGCCGCCCGTCTCATTCCAGGATCAGCTGCACGTTTCACCCCTTGTGCCCGCCCGCCTGACTACATTGCCCCTGTGGCGACCCCGGTTCGATTAGACACCCACTCCGCAGTGGAAAGGGATGGTCAGGGTGGGTAGCACAAAGGTCAGGGTCCATTCCGATCCGATCGATCCGATTCGACACCAGTTTCGGCAAATTCGATCCGATTCGATGTCGATGTCCTGGAGATCCGATGCGGCCGATGCTTGCATGGCGCTATTGTGCATCCTGGCGCAGTCGACCCGAATGGATTTCAAGTATGTGCCGATGCAGCCCTCGGCCCCATCGTAATATGCACACGCCGTGGGGTACATGCTGTGCGCCCGCATAGGCTGTCCGTTGGCCTCACACGCCCGTGTAAGTCGAGGGGCGGCCGATCCGATTCGGCGCCCCGATTCCACAACGATTGATCCTGAAGGCTGCCCCCCTCTCCTCAACGCCTTTCGGCTCCCATCCCAGTGTACCTGCCCTCCCATTCCCCATCTGCACCCCTCCCCACGGACTGTTCGGAGCCTCGCGCGCGCGCGGGCGTGCGCGAGAGCAGCCTGACACGGCAGCAGAGCAGTGGGTGGCACGCAGGTGCACGTAAGCCGCCCCGTCCCGCTTGGATCGGCGGCAAAGTCGAGGAGCGAGACTGGGACGAAGGGCGGAGGACCTCGCCAGGAGGAGGGGGGCTGGGCGAGGAGGAGGAGGAGGAGGAGGACGAGGGAGGAGGGGGCCCCAATGGTCTTAATTCCTCCGCCGGTTCCTTTCTCCATCCGCCCGATGCTCCTTTCTCATCTTTGCTACTCGCCTTTCTGCTCACAGGATTGTTTCACCCCCCCATTCTCCGCCCTGCCTGGCGGCAGTCTGAGACAGAGAGCGCAAGGCAGAGCGTGCGATGGTGCTGTGCCAGAGGCTGGTGCAGCACTTAGAAAAATGCCCCCCCCCCCCCCCCCTCCCCGCTCGAGGGCCTCAACGTGGTGCCACCGCCACCGCCGCCGCCGCTTGAGAAGCCCGGTGCAAAGGGGGAGGAATGAAGAAGGGGGGGAGGAGGCAGGAGGTAGGAACGGGAGGCAGAGGTCACGATGCAGGAGGTATAGGAGAGGGGAGGCGGGCGCCAGGAGAGAGGAGAGAGGAGGCAGGAGGGAGCAGGGAGGCAGGCAGGAGGGAGGAGGGAGGAAGGGTGCTGGAGGCATGAGGCAGGACGCACGTAAGGTTCAGAGGTTGTGGATGAAACGAGTGTCGACATGCCGGTTGAGTTTGGTTGCCGATCCGCCCAGGGCCACGAGCTGAAGGTTGGCGGCAGCTCAACGAGGGTTGGCGTACGTAGGACCGTGTGATGCCAACAAGTCCAGGTTGGGCCTGAAGCAAGGCACTCTGGATGGGGCAATGATCGCCCCCCCTCTTGGATCCGCTGTGGGGGTTTGGCACGTGCTGTCGAAACGGGTGGAGGGGGGGTTGGACGAGGACGAGGAGGATCCCATCTTTCCGCGTAATTTTTGGAGCCGCATCGAAATGTGAGGGCACTGGGGCCCGAAATTGAGCGTAAATTCCCGTTGTGGAAACATTGCACGCCGAGATCTTAGGGGACGACGCCCGCGGCCGGGGCAGCACGGGAGGTGCCGCCGACCCCGCCGCCACGGGCGGCATGAGCGGCATGGGCGGCTACATGGGCGGCTACGGCGGCTACGGCGGCATGGGCGGCATGGGCAGGCCCCGCTGTCCCCTGGTGCCGAGGAGCGTGCTGGGATGCGATCTTGTGAGGAAGAGGAGGAGGAGGGGGAGGAGGAGGAGGAGGAGGAGGAGGAGGAGGAGGAGGAGGAGCAGGAGGGAGGAGGGAGGGAGGGGGAGAGGAGGAGGGGGGAAGAAGGAGGAGGAGGAGGAGGAGAGGAGGAGGAGGAGACGGAAAAGGCGGATCATGGAGATGGAGGGGAGAAGGAGGAGGAGGGAGAGGGGGAAGGAGAGGAAGGGGGGAAAGGAGGAGGAGGAGGAGGAGGAGAAGGAGGATGAGGAGGACGAGGAGGAGGAAGAGGAGGAGGAGGAGGAGGAGGAGGACGAGGATGTTCAGGAGGAGGAGGAGGCAGAGGGGGAATAGGTTGGGCTTTCGTTTGATTGCCTTGAAAGACGCGACGGTGTCCTCATGGGTTCTGCGAAGCTCTGAAGGGGGGATGAATTGCAACGGGCGAAGGAGGAGAGGGAAGAGGGGGTGCACGACAGGAGGACGGCTTTGGGCCCCTCTTCCTCACAATATGCGCACTCTCATGTCTTCCCTCCTTCCAGTCCCCATCTCCCTTGGCTCTTCTCCCCATTTACCCCCGAATATCATTAGGTAGTTCCCTTCCCCACTCTCTCGTCCCCTCCCCCCCCCATCCATCCCTCCCACCTCCCACTTCTCTCACTTTCTTTTTCTCCTCCTCTCTCCCACCCTTCCCTCATCTCTCTCCCCCTCACATCCTCCCTCGTACGCGTCCCTCTTGCATCCCTTACAAATTTCCTCTTCCCGACCACAGTCATTGTTTTGTATGTGTCTGCCTGCTCCGGGGGCGAATAGAGTGAGGAGGCGGAGGAGAAGGAGGGAGAAGAGGAGGAGAAGTCCCCTTACATGTCCATCCCCTCCCTCCCGTCCCTCCCCACCGCGCACATTCCCCACTTGCGGCGGAATGGATACGAGCGTGTGTCCTGTCATCTGCTGCTCATTATGTTTTATCCCAGTGGGGCACTGCGCTCTGTGTCTCGAGGTAGTCAGACGCCGACGGACAGCAATATGGGTGAATGATTTGTGTTCTGGAGTCTGGCCAGGGCCTGCTAGACGGCTCAAGTCCACCCCTCCACCCCAATTTGGAGGCGTTTGGCAAGGCCATAGTTATACTGGAAGAGGTTGTTCGCATTCGCCAAGGCAGAGGAGCGTTTTACAGCTGGCGATCCCCTCCTCGAAAATAGTTTCGAAGAACTTGCGCTAAGCTCTGGCATGTGGCGTTCCATTGCATGAGCCGCGATTTCGAGCGCCGACGGACCGCTATGACATCAGCAGTGTCCCCGCTTATTTGATTGATGCCGGCAATCGACGCTGCGGGCCTGGCACAACACATTGAGCAAGGTCGAACATTCATTTCGAATGCGAGTGCGTTTGGCTGCCACATGATATTAGATCATAGCAATCGGTGTCTGATAACGTGGGGTGCCCGATGCTCCGCAGGATGTTGGTCATCCGCGAATCAACCTCCTCACGGTAGATGTGTATCGTCTCGGCGGCGGCGGCAGCGGGGGCGCGTGCATGCCCGCGGCAGTTTGGGGGGGAGCTCTCCAGCGCGAAGATCGCGCGATTTCGAACAATACGCTCGGTGACATAGACAGAGACCACGCTATCACGACAGTAGGCAGCCGTGGGAGCTCACCTTGCGCCGTTCCTTCGTTGGCATGATATCACATGCTTGCTTTCGTGTGTCAACACGTCTGCTCGTGTTGGCAGATGGTCGAGAGCGTGACCAACGGCTTTCCCCCTGGAGTTGCGAAGGGCTTGTGCTCGTCAGACCAAGGAGCAAGTAAGTTGCTTACACCACATCATCCCTCTCCCCCCTCCTCCCTTTCCGCCCATCCACTCTTCTCCAATCATTTACCAGTCCTTCTCATCTTCCCCTCTCTCACTTTCACCTCGCATCCGCTGGCTGCCTCTATATGTTCCCAACATTCCCGCGTGTTGGGTCCTCCACTTGAGTCCGCAGCGCCGCGCGTTTTCTCCTCCTCCTCCTCCTCCTCCTCCTCCCTTTGCCCCTCCTCCTCCATCATCCTATCCGTAGCCATTTTGGCTCAAGGCTCATGCTTTTGCGGGCTGAGCCCGTATTGGCATTCTCGGATACCGCTAGTCCGCGGCAGTGCCAGAGCGCTTGCGCTCGACAGCTTTTCGCCTTCACCGAGGGGTTGGGCTCCCTCATCAGTTTTGTCGCCACGGCCAGGCTGCCCTCAGGGCCGTGGCTCTCGCCGCTTGTCTCTGCGAAGTCGACGCCGCCATGGCCCCGACGCGCAAGGAGAACGCTTCGCCATGGTATTGCAAGTGGTGCAGGCATGACGTCACGAATCAGCCGTGGTTCAACGCCTCCACCCTGGTGTACTGCAAGAAGTGTGGCCTGCACAAGAGCAACTGCTTCAAGGAGAACAAAGCAGCGTCGCAGCCCAGCGTCTCGGCCAAGCAGCAGTCGCTCGCGGCCAAGGTCAAGGAGCTCGAGGCGCAGCTTGCCAAGCTCCGAGAGCATCCCCCTGGGCAAGGGCCAACGGCTACGGGTACAGGTGCGAGCCCTCCTTGGGCTGCCGCGCCTGGGGATGCCGACGCCGTCAAGAGGAGCCGTATCAAGATGCTGGACCAGCTGCTTCGGGTCACTACTGACCCTGCTGATGCTGATATTGTGGCCAAATGGCGTGAGGAGCGTGCTAGGTTGGATGCTGAGCTCTTTTGCTGAGCTCTTTCAAGATAGGCCCATTGAGCATCAGGCCAGGTCATTGGCGTCACGACTGTCCTCCGCCCGTGCGCGACAGGCTACCATCCAGGCCACTCGCGACGAGCAGCAGCGGAAGATTGACGAGCTCACCCGAGGCCTGGCCGACACAGACTCCAAGTTGCAGGAGGCGGCTGCGGAGGTCCTCCGCCTCGAGCAGCAGACTCGCGCCGCCATGTCGCGAGTCCAGCCGCCCGAGGGCACCCAGCCACCGACGTTGGCGGACTTGCTGCCCACCTTTGCGGTCAGCGTGGAGCAGCTGGGCAAGGTTGCATCGGGCCTCGGCCTTGGCGCCGACATGGTCAAGGAGCTGCAAGCTATGGCCAACACGGTCAGCAAGCTGCAGAATATGCCGCAGGCCAAGCCGCCTGAACCCGCACCTGCCCCCGATGATGAGGATGGTGATGAGTCTTGCGCTGAGCCACCTGACATCGAGATGTCCGAACAGGAGTACCGTGAGACGCTGGGTGCAGCAGGGGTCCAAGTCGAGGAGAGCGACACCCCAGACATCGTGCGTGAGAAGTTCAAGCGCCTTCAGCAGAGCTACTTGGACACTGTGGCCAAGAAGGCCAAGACGTCGGCGTGAATGTGCTCGGCTTGATATGCTGTTGCTTTGGCTTTTTGTCACCATGGTTAGCTCCACATCAGCGCAACATGTCGAGAGTCCGCCTCAGTCATCTTCGGCGGCGGCCAGCATTCTGGGCAGGGGGGGGGAGGGATTCAGCCCCTCATAGTCACACCCCCCTGCCCACATCGGCGTCCAGTTCCATGACCTCGCCTGGCACTACGGCGCCTGCATTATCCCCCCCACTGGCCCGCTCCTCGGGGTGGGGGACAGCTCCGACCCTGACGGTGGCCTCGCCTTCTTCGGTTGAGCCTGCAGCTCCGTCCAGGGCGACTACGGCATCACAGAGGGCTACTCCGTCTACGCCTACGCGGCTGGCCCCTGGCAGCACGCACTGCTCACCGACCTCATCTTCGGGGATTGGCGGCAGAGGGTACCGACCGTCCTCGGGCGGCACGCACTGCTCACCGCCCTTGCCCTCGGAGAATCCAGGCGGCAGAGGGTACCGACTGCCAGGGGCCCCACCGGGCCAGAGCGGCCCAGTGTGCACTACTTTGGATGGCGATCATGACTTCTTTGAGGACGTTGAGCCTGACAGGGAAGCAGATCTGTGTGAAGGCGCATTTCATGAAGCGCCATCTTCGTCCCCACCTTCTTCCCGATTACGCTTCGAAAAATCAGGTCAAGAACGCGCTGCACCTACCTCGCCTTCGCCGCCAGGGAGCACGGAGGCGAAGGTGCAGCCAACGCATGCAGTATCCCAGCCGCAGCTCAAGGGCCTCATCACAACGGTGAATGCTACGAGCTACGGCCCTCTTTTTGACTTTTTGGCTACCTACCGTGGTACTATCTTGCTGGCACAAGAGTTGAGGATTACCGACTCCAGGCTTGGCGAGTTTCAGGCCAGGGCCTTGGATGCTGGATGGCATGGGCTATGGGCCCCTTCGCCCTCTACGGGGGACTCAGCTACGTCCAACTTCGGAGGGGTCGCTGTACTTGTGCCGACATACATCATGGTCACAGCCCCACCTGATGATGGGCACATTATTTACCCAGGACGAGCAGTCTGTGCACAGATTAACTGGGGAGTGGCAGGCGGCATCATAGTCGCCAGTGTGTATCTCGTCACGTCTATTGGCATATCGGGCGAGAACATTGAAGTGCTGTGGGCCTTGGCACAGAGAGTGGCGGCATGGAACTCACGGGGCCTCGACTGGATCCTAGGTGGCGACTGGAATTCCGACATCGATGCGCTCAATGTTCGCAACTGGGTCGAGACCATGGCAGCCGTCCACTACGTGCCCGACCAGCACACCTGCATCACCGATGAAGGCAAGAGCACCATAGACTATTTCGTCGTCTGCGCCAATTTAGCGTCTCGCATCAAGGGCAAGCCAGAGGTTCAGTATGACTCCACGGGCGTGCCGCCGCCGCATTTTCCTGTGGAGCTGCAGCTCATGGGCGAGGATCGCCCCACGTGGTGCCGCGTCCCTGTGGAGCCACGTCCCTTTGCGGTGGTGCCGCCAGTTGGCTGTGCTAGATATCCCTACCCGTGGCACAGGCTTCGGACAGAGTTCCAACGGGTCAGCTGTACTGACGACCTGAGCCCGCTCTGGGACTCCGTGTTGCGAGGGGTGGACTACGAGCTGGCAGGGCGC